GCAATATCTCCAGATGGAGAGCTAGTCTCTTTAACGGCAACTCTCATCGTGCAAAGAACTGCCGTTGCAAGATTGACATTGATAGCTGCTTTGCGTCCTGGGTCTCGTTGAAGAGAACCTGCTGACGCAAACGTTCTAATTTGCTCTAGAATACTTTCTTGAACCTTGGCCGGAGTCAATGGAAATGCGAAAGCAAATAACTGGATGGCGCTATTGATGACCTCGGTGGCTGGGGGATCAGGGTCTGTTGATCCGTCATCTACGCCGCCGACATACAGCATTGACGCATCATGCTCTAGACTGCCGCAGACCGGCGATTGCAATAGACTATCAATAAAAGCCTCTGAATCATTCTGCCGAGTCTTATCTTCCTGTATAGCGTTCTCGTTTTGGCCTGGGAGCGGTTTGACATTGAAACCCGATACGATACCGGTTATTCCAAAGCCGGTGTTGTCACCAACATCCCAAACTGACTCAAAAGTACCGGCGGCATTCGCAATCGACGCACTCAATGAGTTAGGCGTGTAGTTATCGGGGTCCGCAAAGAGAGATATCGCAAGAGTCAGCAGATTTGACTGCAAAAGGGCTTCGCTTCCACCTGCAGGGCTCTGGTTCACCAATTTGATATAGCACTGCAAGACTCTGCGTTGCACCATCCTGTCAAGGTCTTGCAGTTGGAGAGCAGGAGTAAGCCTCTGAGAAATGTCCTCAGTTATCTTCTTAGATGGCAGCGTCTTTAAAAAGGCTGTTGTGCTTTGGAGCATTGCCGCTATACGCTTGGAGACGTCGACCGTAAGAAGCCGGTTGTTGAACTGGAGGAAAGCTAGAATGGAGCCCAGAGCGCATTCTCTGACATGGGTAAGAAATGATGCCTCGAGAAGGCTCCTGGCTGAAGTGTTATCTTTGGCCAGAGGCTTTGGCAGTGCATTCTTCCAAAGCAAGAGCAGCTGCGACAAATGGATCTTGACGAAATTTGGACCCAAAGACATAAGGCCACCGATAAGAATCCAAGCGACTTGGATTTGGGTGCTCGAGACACGGAGCTCTGACTGGCTGCTGGATTTGAGTAAATTTGTTGCCATTGTCAAAACTCGGCTGTCCACATCAAGAGAGCCATGCAATGGGCGGGAAGGACTGGCGCTTAGAGTAGCAGCCAGACCATGAGCAAACCCAATGCATCGCCTAGGAGAGTTGCGCCCAGTCCCAAGCAGAGACAATTCACGGCTGAGGCTGTTCATGCAGACCGAAAGGCACGGCAGCAACTGTTGAGGACATGCGAGAACAAAAATCTTCATGCAGTTCGACGCAAATACTTGCACAGAATAGCTTGGGTGCTGTAGCACTTGCAATAGCCCATCTCGGCAAGGCTCTGCAAAGCTGTTTGCAGCGGACCCAAGTGACTTTAGTAGCGATGCAACGGCATTCAGAGCAGCAATGAGAGTGTGCTTCTGAGGCTCTGGCTTTTCAGCCAAAGCTTGAGGATAGTTTTTCAAAACGCCGCTAATCAGAGATTCTGCCGCGGATTTTTGGCCAGATTCTCCCAGGATCTTGCGCCCAATGACATCCTGGACGATGGTGTCCACAATCTTTCGAGAAATGAGCAAGCGATAGCGGTTGTTGCTGATGGTTGCGTGGCTGAGGATGTCAACGGTCAAGCTTTCTACTATGCTAAGATAATTGGCCTGCACGGTCTTCTCTCCCAGTCGGCGGAAAAGTTTTCCATAGCATACTCCAATAGCAGCTCGAGATTTGTTGGTGGTTGCAGGCTTGACAAAGTAGCCAGCCAAGACTTTCAAAATATCCTGCAGCGACAGAGCAAGGTCCTGACTCCGCTTGGCGCCAGGAGCTGGGCTTGACGGGCGAGATGGAATCTCGTCCTCATCTCCCACGATGCTGGGGTGCGTGGATGCTCGTTTAAGCTTGATTTTAGACTTTTTATTCTTGGCGGCAGCGTCTGCGGCGCTGGACTCAGAATATCCTTGCACAAGCGCCTCGGCAAAACAGCTGGCCATGGCATTTCGAACTTTGGCGGATGACGAGTCGGCAGCCTTGAACATTGCTGTCTCCAGCTTGTCGAAGTCGGTCGAGTTCTTAAAGTACATGGTGTGTCGCATTAATGCTTTAAGACATCGACACGCAGACGCAACGACGAGAGTTCCCTTGTCAACGGAGGCATGGTTCCTTGCCTGCTTCCATATATCCCGAGAAATGTATTCGTCCATGGATCCCTCAACCATAATAATAATCTTCTCCAAAGCGGTAAACACTGCTGCTCTTATTCCTGCGTTATTCGAGGCCGATTTAAGCAGCTTTAGCAGCGTTGTGCAAGCCAGCTGGTGGAGTCCAATTGCGCTGTCCCCCGCAGAGGCAAACACATCTCCCAGGCAGCTAACAGCCGCATGCTTTGCGCGAGTCTCGCCATCCTTCGATTTTCCTCCCGCCGCTATTGCTATAAGATCGTTTATCGTTTCGAATAACAGCTTCCTGTCTCCCTTCCCGAAAATGTGGGCCAGACAAGCTCCCAGGTTGTTTCTGATGACCCGAGACGGCTGCGGGGTGGAGAGACTGATGATCTGGAATATTTCGCGTTTGAGGTAGAACTGCTGGGATGTACAATCGTCTGCTGCAAGCCCCAATACATGCTTTTTCAATCTCGAAACAAACGTGAGGAGGAAGAGATCTTGCTGTTCGGCGGGGAGCGCTTGAAGCTTTGGGAGATCCAGCTCCGGGTTGGCAGTGACTGAATCGGCGACGGCACTGGCCTGCACGCTCGGCGCACTGGCTGGAGCTTCGGGCTCCTGGCTCGACGACATGGCAGGCGGTATCCGGCGTCGTCAGAGGGGCCCTCGTTTGTCGTATTCTATGTTGTCGTAATCAGGTCTTCGCTATCTATGGTCGTCCCAAAACTCAGTGATAGGGGGATGATGGCCAGCATTCCAACAGGTATGATGATGGGCATCGACACTAGCGGTGGTGCAATGGCCAATCAGCAGGCGCCGGTGGCCCTGGATGGGCAGCCTCTCGGCCCCAAGCTCCAGGGAAGATCGTTAACCCGGCGCATTTGGAGGAACATGCGATAGTGCCGCTTAGTGCCCGGAAGCTCGAATATCTTTGAATTGGTGTCTCAAAATACGGGGACCCAAAATCGATTTCAGCCTCTGAGACGACTGGAGAGCATTTGTGGATGTACGTTGTTTGGTGATTTATACTAACGACTCGTTACGATGAACCCCGCAAGATCGTTTTCGCTTCTGATAAAGTCCCGCCTCTTAATCCCTTCTCGCGCATCTTCAAGCGGTCTTGTATGCCCGTCATGTCTGCGGTCCTTTGGAACGACGGCGTCTCAGTACGCAGGACATAATAAATGGTCCAAAACAAAGCATATCAAAGCGGTTACAGACAAAAAAAAGATGTCTGACCGCGTTTCATTTACAAAGCTCATCACCATGTACTCTAAAAGTTCGTGACACCAAGCACCCCCTCGCAAAGTCTCAGAAAGAGCCATCTAACGCTATGAGTTTAATAAAAAGTGTATGGTGAGGATGTCAAGTTCAACCCACAGCTAGCAAATGCAGTTGCAGCAGCAACAAAAGGTACCTATATCTATGATTCGATTCATTATACCCTCATAATGTTGAATCGATATATTAATCCAATGCGTAATTTTAGCGAGCGTTCCCAAGTCACTAATTGAGAGCGCCATTGCAAGAGGCCAAGGCCGCTCTGCCACAGGTGCACAGCTTGAACCCATGACGCTGGAGATTCTAATGCCACCTAATATCGCCCTGGTTGCCGATATCGAGACGGATAATAAGACACGCAGCTTGCATGATCTCAAATTTGTGGTCAAGAAGGCCGGTGGACTCGTGGGCTCCACTGCATTTTACTTCTCGAGACGCGGACGGGCCATATTTAAGCCTAAAGATGGTGGGCCATCCTTATCAGATGTATTGGAAGAAGCAATTGAGCATGAGGGCACTGAGGATGTTGAAGAGCATCCAGACGGAGGATTTTTGATTTGGACTGAGCCATCCAAGCTCATGGCCATCACGGAAGCCATTTCTAAACGGTTCGAGCTCGAGGTGGTCGAGTCTGAGATAATGTGGGCTGCGAACGAAGACACTCAGGCTGACGTCGACTCAGCCGAATTGGTAGAAAATTTGAATACCTTGCTTGCTGGTCTTCGGGAGTATACCGAAGTCAGAGCACTGTTTGCCAACATTCGCCAAGGCGCTATCACGGACGACGATTGGGACAAGCTGGAGAGACATATCGATATATAGCTGTAACAAATCCTATCATCGTACAAAATTCATCCAAAATCACCCATTTGAGTTGAGTTATTTTTCCCCCCTTAGTCCGCCTTTCTGCAGGCTGAACGCCAATTATGCATTTTGTCCTATATTCACCAATAGCGCCAATTCAATCATATAATACAATTCGGGATTTATCCATTCTCCCAATTTTTTTGCCCCCGCAGGCTGTCGTGTGATAGGTAAACATTTGCCTAGACAATTAAGAGCTTTCGTTCCTTTGCGCTTGCTCCGCCTGTTGTCGCTGCCTCTCCTCTTGAAGAGCTTGTCGAATCTTTTGCCGTGCCACGATTCTCTCGTACTCCGCAATGACTTCTTCTCTATCTTGGGGTAGCTTGTTGCATTCTTCAGGCTTCGGCCAAAAATCGTGAACCTTGAAGCGATTGTCCAGGTTCGTTCCAAAATAATACATGAACCCGATTGGGAACATAAGGCAGACGCCGAACTACTCCGGGAAAGGCCAAGATTAGGAAATGCCGCTGCGTTGAAAGTTGAAGGGTCCTACCTTAAAGATCTCGAGTTGAATTCCAGGCATTTTGAATCGGGATTTTCTGTATGTCGAGAATGACTGGTTGGGGTAATGGTAATGTGGAATGTCAGCCTCAAATCCTACAGGCTGGATGACAAGAAGTTCCTCTTACATGCACTTACATCATAACCTCGATAAAGCGGTAGCTTCACAACCCCGCCATCACACCACTAATTCCGCTCTAAGAAACGGCTGACAGGCAGATCCAGGTACTAGCACCCGAGTTGACATTAAAAGATCCATGGAAGCATAAAATACTTGGCCCATATGTGTATTATCAGGGCACATCCTGACTATGACTATGCGTATACAGTTTTGATCGGTGATAAAACATAATTTGAGTAAATGGGGTGTTTATGATATAATGTCGCTCAGACGAGAAGCCCTGCCCTCCACCTCATGCTCATTCTTTCTCATAAAAAATGACAAAACACACAAATCCTTCGCAGAGATGAACGCCATCGAGATTTCCATTTCCATATAGTCCGAAATCCATACCCACCCACCATGCCTTAATAAGTTGAGATAGGAGACCAACCTCCGAGACAAGACGCCAGCAAATTTCATATATAAAGAATCATATCACCGAGTGGCGCCATTCTTTTTCCTTTCCGCCTGTGCTTCCTCCATCATGAAGCGCTCAGTGAAGCTCCGCGGCGTTCCGGCAAAGCCAGGCTGAACAACGCTGGCACGGAAGCTGCTGAGATCTCCCTCATCCATTCCGCTGCGGCCATCCAGACCTCCGACAAAAGTGTTAAACTGGCCCAAAGAGGCAGCCCTTGCGTGCACTTCAGGGTTGCGCACAACAGGCATGATGACTGGCCGACCTTTGTATGATCCAAGGGACCCTGGCTGGAACCTGGACACGGTGGACATGGAGTTCTCTGTTCTCTGTGGCCGCGCGATGGAAACAGCTGGTGATGTCGAATAAAGCGGCTGCTGAGCGGGCCGAGCCATGTTTGGAACTTCATCCTGAGATTCGTCGTCATCTGATGGCTCGTCAGGCGGGGGAGCTGCCGGTCTCTCGCGTGGCTTCGGTGGGGCACTTAGGCCGGCAGGTTCAAATTCAAACAAGTCATCATCATCACCATAATCGTCCAAGCTCTCATTGTCCATAGTAGCAGGAGTCCTGCTCTCTCGAGAGTCATTGGTATTCGGATGTGACGCCGTGGCTGAAATTCCGTTACTCGCTCCTCTTATCGGCAACTGAGCGGCTGAAGGTGACGTAGACTTCTGCTTAAGAGCAGACTTGCGTTTACCCATGGCCAAATAATCGCCCTCATCATCTGACGAGTCGTCGGTACTCCTGTTGGTTTCTGATCCGTGGCCGTTGGTATCCCCAGAATCTAATGTTGTATTCTTGCTTTGGGCAGCGCCTGCTGAAATTTCTATTCTTGGGTTGTTTGTAGTAGATTTTGTCTGCTCCATGGTTAAAGCCCCCTTGTTCGCGCCGTCTGGTTGGGAATTGGCCCTGTCTGCCTCAGGGTCGACGACAGTCCACACGGTACCTTCCTCAGCTGGCGCCCTAGACAAGGCTCTCAAGGCCTCTGTAGAAGAGCTTTTCCGAGGAGGTTGCCACTCCTCGATATCGTCGCCAAGTATCATATCCGAGGCAATTGGCTCGTCCTCTGCGGTCGGCGACGCTGGGCCAGGAGGTATAAATTCCACTTGCTGAGGCGATGACGTAGGTAGCACCTCTGCACCCATGAACTCGAACCGCACCCGCCTTGGGCTCTGAGGCGGTTTAGATATACTAGAGGAGCGTCGCATCGCACTTCGCATAACTTTGGAATCGCTCTTGTCTGAGCACGCTGACGAGGTTGACTCTTCGGTGGCGGTTCTCACGAGGCGGTTCGCCTCGGCTGGAGCCTGGCCGCCTGCAGGAGCCGCGTTGTTCCCTGGGGTTACAAGGCTGTCCACGGTGACACCATTGTCGGTGGCAGTGCTGTTGTCGGCAGCCGGCGTTTCCATGACAGGCAGCAGCGGGAAGGGGTCCGTGGCCTGGGTGGAAGTCGTCGAGGTAATAGCCGGCACAGCAGGGCGGTTGTAGGGAGGGGAGCTGTCCAGCAGCGGGAGATAGCTTGGCGTGAAGAGGCCCTGCAGCTCTGCCTCTCGGTCGTGCGAGCCGTTGGGAGCCTCGATACGAGGAGAAGCCTCGGGCGTCGCAGCCTGCTGGAATGTGGCCGGTTGGGGCCTGTCAGGTGGTTGTGAGTCAGCGGCCTCCAGCTCGGGACGCAGTATCGGGTAGTTGGCAAAGGACGGTGCAATGGCTTGCTGGATGCTGGTCGCGACGCTGGGGTTGACGCCGGTGAGCAGGTCGTGGTAGTAGCGCTGGAAATCGGTGATCAGGTCGTAGCGATAGGCTTGCAGCCTGCCCTCCAATTCATCCAGCTTGGTGTGGAGGCTGCTGAGCAACGTCGCCTCCATTGTGGCTAACAAGATGCTGCAAGCGGACTGGAGCGTGTCAATGGCCGTGATCTGCGCATGACGCTAGGGCAGAGCGGGGGAGCGAAGGCGGCCACTGTCTTGGAGCCGGGAAACTCTATCAACGAGCCAAACAGAGATGATTTTTTGAGTTCCTGCGTCTTGGGGGAAGATGGACAGAGGCACAGCTAAGCGTCGATCTGAGGATGTGGATGTGGGTTAAGCTACATTTACATAGCGTGGGTTATTCCCCCACTCAGTGGCCTTGCCCGTGACCTGCGTCGAGTCGAGCAAGAGAGGCTACTTGTTATCACTTTGCACACCGAGACGAGATATTTATTGATCATGCCCTAGGAGCCGGTGTGTGATTGGAAATAACTCCAGAAATGTTCTGCGTCAGCTCCGAAGCCGCACCAAGCGCCTTGTTCCGGTTTTGCTGGAGGGGGCTTACGCTAGGCAGAGAGTAGTTGAGCACTCGTCCGGATATCGTGGCATCGCACCAGATTGGCGCTCGCCCAGCTCAACCGCCGCCGGGACCACAGGGCGCTTGGCGGTATAACAAATCAGCGCTGCTGCTCGCTAATCGCACTGGAAACCCTTCCGCTTCCTGCGATGCAAACAGCACGAGACTTGATGGAGCTGGCCGGCGTCGCATCAGCTTCGCCCCGTAAATTTATCGCCTGGATGTGGCAGACCACCCTTCCGAACCCCGGATATTCCAGGCTTCTTCCAGACCAACGAGCGCCGAGCCAAGCCCTCCCTGCCCCCAAACTAGGCCTGGCGAGCGTGGGCAGACGTGGGCAAAGACGTGGGATACAGAGGGGTCCAGGGCGCTGCTCATGCATCATGCTGCAGATCTCCCCCTGCTGGCCCCTCATTGCTCATCGCCCATTTCTTCATGTATGTATGTACATACAGTATGGTTCTTCGGCAGCACGCGGATAGGCTGGTACTCAATGCCTGTGCTCATGCTGTAGATATCGAAGTGGGCATACAAGCAGTGCTGGTAGATGGCTTTCCAGCCTTTAACATGTTATATACATGTGTTTTCAGAGCCTTGTAGATGTTTGGGATCCAGAATATGCCCACTCCGGGCAGGGGTTGTTTCCGCCAAGTGCTCTCTATCATCTCTTTTCTCTTGTGACCTCGTGTTATCACGCTTAGTGGCTACCGGCGGCACACTTGGGCCGCCGCCCGGATACCTGCGTATTCGTTCAATGGAATAGGTATGACTAGGCCTAGTGTGAGCTGCTAAAGTTGCCTTGCAGCACTTAGCAAAAACAATGGCGGATATTGTTGGCTGCCACTGGGCTGGCTAATCTTGGATAGAATGGTGTCGCTCACATGATACGACCTCGTATCAGATATGAAGAGATAAGGCCTCACACTCCATCTAATAACCGAGTAACAGTGCTGATATATGGGAGCAAACAAGGCTATCTAACACATTGTCTGTTGCAATCTACATGTACCTGAAGTGGTCAAGATCGAACTGTGTTTGCGGTGCAGATGGCTGGGTTAATATCGGCATCATGCTTCGCTATTGGATATTTTAAGTGATGAAATATAATTCAATAAGCAACATCTGGCCCTCTATATCAGTAGATTTTAGCTTTTATTGCCTGCCTTTCATCCAAGAACCCAAGAACATTGAGCACCAGATACGGCTGCGTTGCTGAATCGTCGCAAGCTAGCGCCTGCAGCTCACACCGCTTTCCCATTATGGACGGCCCATGGCTAGCTATCGAAATTCTGCCCATAGCCTCGCTGCCAGCTTGTGGAGTCCGTGCCGGTTGCGCGTGCTTGCTCTCGCCAATATCCCCTTTGGCCGTCAACAACTTCCGCTGCATGCCATCGAGCAGAAAGCCCAAGGGACGCTGGATCAATCCACTCTAACCTCCATTGCGACGATTCCCAAAGATGTCAACCATCCCGGCCTCGGCCCTCCAATCGGGGTCTCCGCCCACGATCCCGCTGCCGTTCAATGCCAAACAGCCTGAGAAGGTTACGCTATACCCGCTATCCAACTATACATTCGGTGTGAAAGAAACACAGCCTGAAGAAGATCCGTCCGTAATTGCCCGCCTGAAGCGCCTAGAAGAACATTTCAGCGAACATGGCATGCGCCGAACATGCGAAGGCATCCTGGTGTGTCATGAACATAACCACCCGCACATCCTGATGCTGCAGATCGCAAACGCGTTCTTCAAGCTCCCTGGAGACTATCTGAAGCCAGAGGACGACGAGGTCGAGGGGTTCAAAGCTCGATTGGATGAGAGACTTGCGCCAGTAGGCCGACTAGGCGAGGGAGAAGAGGCTGGGGACTGGGAGGTTGGCGAGTGCCTGGCGCAGTGGTGGAGGCCAAACTTCGAGACCTTCATGTATCCATTTGTCCCTGCGCACGTCACACGGCCCAAGGAGTGCAAAAAATTCTACTTCATTCAGCTACCGAAGAGCAGTAAGTTTCATCTAATATCAAGATGGTTTCTGTCGCAGCCGCTAACGTTCTCCCCCTTTTCTTCCAAACAGAGGTTCTAAGCGTGCCAAAGAATATGAAGCTTTTAGCCGTCCCTTTATTCGAGCTTTACGATAACACTGCTAGATATGGACCGCAGCTGTCTGCCATTCCTCATATCCTTAGTCGCTACAACTTTGAGTTTGTTGATGAAAATGGCGACGTGGTTGCTGCAACCCCTGGTTCAGGCGCCCCCGATGGATATGTGCCCAAAGCCAAGGTTCTGGCCGGAGACGACACGGATATGGTTGAGGAAAATGGGACACATTGAATGAAATGAATGGCATATTGGAAAAAAAAGACATGGCGATGGTGTTTGGCGTATAGGTAAAACGACTCAATGTATACAGCTTTGAAGCTACAGGTTGTCTAATAAATACAAAGATTTCCAATTCAATGTTATAGACTCTCTCCTTATGCCTTTTCTCCCTGAATTGTTGCCACGATGCGACGCTGGTGTTTACTTGCCCTGAATTCCAAGTACCAGATTCCCTGCCATGTTCCCGTGGCCTTGAAGAAGTGTTAACAGGAAACAGGCAGGCATAACCATATGCATAAACAAGGGATGAAGCTTTGCAAACTTACCAACTTGCCATTCTGGATTGGAACGGTGACACTGGCACCGATAAGTGCTGATTTGATATGAGCCTATGCAAAGTTAGATAAACATTTCTAAGTTCGTTGTAAAGGTATGTGGATCGAGGTTCACCGGCATATCATCAGGGCCTTCAGCGCTGTTATGAAAGCATTAGCATAAAAACTTGAATTGAAAAGCCGGCCATTCGTATACATACTCATGTCGGTACAGGGCCTCTCCTTTGGCCCCGAAATCTGGCGCAATGCGGTCGAGAGCATCGCTCATGTCTGTTCTAACATCCTCATCCCCTAAGGACCCACAGTATGAGACTTTTGCACACAATTCTCCTCATTCCGAAGAACGCTCCAACGAATGATATTAAATAACGTACAATTCTCGTTCAGGCTTAGGGCACAGCTTGTGTGTTGGACGAATAGATTCAGCAATCCAACCTTGTAGCCTTTTAACTCTGGGAGCGCAGACACTATCTGGTCCGTGATGAGATATGAGCCACGCGATTGGGCTGGTAGTGTGATTTGCTTCTGGAACCAAGACATGGTGGGGGCAGAATCTGCAGGTGGTGGCACTTGTGAGAAGATGAGGCTGAGAGGAAGAGTCCAGATATAGTAGATTGAATTGGGAAACAGTGTGATCATAAACAGGAGGATTAGGAAAATGGTTTTTATATCACTAGTTTGCTGAGGCATTCTGTAGTCACAGTGAGGTTATGAGAAGTGGAGACTTGAAGCTGTAGACGCCAACATTAGTGGGGTTGGTGCAACCTCATTGCTTGAAATAGAATTCTACAGCCTTGAGCCGCCCGTTACGCTACAAGTTTTAAATAGACAGAAGGCTATGTGCTATATTAGGAAAAAGGAAGAGCGAAGGATCAAGATGAAGATGCTATATATTTCTCATTCATGTTGTGGGCGGCATGTCATTGGCGCTATGCCTCAGGGATATAGGCGCTTATACATGCCGCGTTGCAACATCTGGCGCCTCACACAGAATTTTAGGCGCAATGTAACTCTTATTTCTCTCTGTTTTGATTCTTCATAACTATACAAATAACTCGTGAACCAGCCCAAGGACTATCTATGACCGGAAGCTTAATAACACCAAATTCCCTCCCCCAGTTGGATAAGTCTATTTTAAGGGGTAGGAAGTCTCCGGAAGAGATTCGAGGTGTTTTCGGTGGTGCTCGTTGGCCTATTTTGCTGTCAGTATTCTCCTAGTCTTCCATTGGTTCGCATGGATCAGTCGAGCATACAAAAGGAGTTCCACAGTAGTTGCAGGAAGCGATCTCCGGCTTATCGGTGTTGATAAAGATTCTGGGATGACCAGCAGCACCGCCGCCGCCATTGCATGATACAATTCGGTCGTGAGTCCATGTAACGGGCACCTTGTGTACCAACTCCATGGCTGAATAAGGTTGGGGCTGCGAGCATATCAGATTTTCATTTCTCGTATAGCAATTCTCGGCTGGTGTTTATACCTGAAGGCTGAAATCTGTCTGTTCGAAACGGGGGCCTGTCATGGCCGTAGATCGGGGCTTCTGGCTTCGAGACCAGACGGCGGCGCGGTTGGGAGCCTGGCCGATAGCTTTTGCGTCGGTTTCCAGCACAGCGGCCGTTTCGCTGGTAGAGGTAACGGGTGTAGGAGCTTCGAGTCGGCGAGCAGAGGTGGCAAAAGTGCGGCTCGATGCGCGCAGGTTGCGCGTCAACGTTTGGACCGCTCGCAATTGAGACGACGCCATGGCTGTGATGAGATTGTGCTGTCTGGACCCGAAGCCGAGCAGTACGCTTGTCTAGAGTTGAAGTCGGACATGGAGGTGGGTTGGACGAGACAGCGGAACAAATATTTTCCGAGATCGTCGGATATCTTCCGCTAGTCGCGGGTCGCATACTATCGACAAGCTTAGCTCTACTTAACTTTTTTCTAGAGCCTCTTATTAGAAAGCATATAATATCAATCCAAGCCCGTTTCCGCTGTACGAATCGCCTTACGAAACAATTGCGACTAGGAAACAAGTGAAAGTAGTTCCCACACAGATATACCACAAACATGGCTCCAGACACGCCTAAAGGGGTCTCTTCGAGACTCTTAACGATGAAATTCATGCAACGAGCTGTTGCATCGGCTTCATCGTCGCCACAAGCAGATGACAGCTCTCAATCTTCGAAAAAACGAAAGTTGAAACACCCAGCGGCCACCGCAGCAGAAGAAAGAGTTAGCGCATTGATCGACCAAGCATCGATCAAGGCAGCGCTTGAAGATCAAGAGGCGAAGCGACAGGCAGCGCTTGCCCAACACACCGCGAGCGGCGCGCATTGGGTTTTGAATACAAAGCTGGACAAATTGAATACCAGCGCGCCTTCAAAGCCTTCTCTGAACGTTGTCTATGTTGGCTACGGAGATATCGATTCAGATGACGAGTCTGGCGGCGAAGACGCCGCGCAGAGTGGACGGACTTCGACGCGAAAGCCCAAGGAAGTCGAAGATCAAGTATGTTCACAGGCTCCCTCCCATTGAGGTTTAAGCTATGCCTTTGTCCTTTAACTGACCGCTAGCAGAAACCCACTTCCGAGAGAGAAGACGACTCAAACGATGAATCATCTAGTGATGGCGGGGATTCGACTTTAAAGCGCAAAGAAAGACATTCAGATGCTGGAGACGGCTCAAGTCGCTCTCGCTCACAATCGCGGCCGAGAACTAGAATCAACGACGAAAGTAAAAGGGCCAAAGACTTCCGTGAAAAGCGAAAGAAGAAGGAGCTTTCACTGAACAAGATCACCTCCATATCATCTGGGGGTGCTAGCAGCTCAGCCTCCTCTGCATGCTACATCTGCAAGCAGCCTGGACATAAGGCCGCTAACTGTCCCAAAGGTGGCTCCAAGCGATCATGAACGCTTTTTTTTTTTTTACACTCCTGAACCTTGTAAAACTTCTTATCCCTATACGTACGACTTATACGCACCCTATCGATATGGGGAAACGTAATCCTTTCACGAATACTGAGGCATCCCCTCTGATTTATACCCGATTCACTATAGACGAATGTTTGCTGATCCCGCATGCATCAACCATGATTTCCCTTTTATTTAAAAGCATCTGGTTATCCCACATAGAATAGCAGAGCGTTTTCAATACTAAACGCCGCCAAAGTAATAGAAAAGCACATATTTTGCGGCATCGTTCGCATAGCATGTCAAGATCCTGTACCTTCTTCCGTATTTGATACCTATCCTCAAACTCATTAATTGTAAAATCTTGATAATGTACGTTCTTTGATACTTGCGCCAACCCATGCAGCTGTAAACAGGCGTAGCCTTTAGCTGAAGACCCCTAACTCGGATGACACGAGATGAAGTAGTCTCTGACTCCACATGCCATACTCGGCCTGCTGCAGAAGATGAGATTGCGGGCAGCTACAAGTACCTATATTGAGGCTCGGCTAATGTCTCAACTACTAAGCCGTACCCCGTACAGAATATCATAAACTCCCTGCCATGGCCAGGAGGCTGAAATAACATGCAGCCTGGTGGGATGGGAGGCCCAATCACAGAGCTGCGACCTATTTCTTCTATCACATATCGTACACACATGCATATCACATATTGCGGGAGCGATGAGTAATTGGCGACATTTTACAGGATACTGAGCTTTTTTATGTCCCATCATAGATACGAAGTACTACCCCGTATCATGCATGACTTTTGTATTTGTCTACGAAAGAGCTCCGAAGTGGGCGCATTTCGATCTCACGTATGCGGAGACATACATGGAGAGAGTAGCCAAGTGCCTTGGATATAAAGGCTTGGGAAAACTAGAGTAAGCCAGGCTTGGCAATGAAGCAAGGCTAGTCTGTCGAGTACAACATTATCCCAAACTCTGCTTCTACAACTGATAGTCACCGGCAGTGCATCCTGTCCAGCCTCTTCACAACTCAAAGACTCAGCCATGAGGTAGCGATACGCTTCTCTTTCGGGAACGTCGCCGGTACACGGGAGAGGGTCCGGTATATGCGCCCATCGCACACTTTGATCTATTAATGCCCTCTCTTATATAATGTCGTACGTTCTGTACGACCATGTGTGCTCTGGACAGGCTATTTGCGGGGTCTGTTAGCATGATCCTTCGTTGACAACTTGCAGAGACGAATCCACCGCGATTGATACTCAACGAGCTTCGTCCGTCGGAGGCGCACACAGACACCTGCTACAAGCGCTTAGATTGACCACTGGCCGCCCGCAGGAGGATTGCCTATATATTACACACATGCATATGGAATGCATTCGCGAGTACGTTACCCCAGGCCTAATATTCGACCATTATTAATTAACCTCCCCGCCATATGCCATATAAATGAAAATGGGAGCGAGTATGGCGTGCCACCGCTACACCCAGGCTTAGCTGGGACGCTTCTGTGGAGAGGCCAATAGTTGCTGAGGTTGCTGAGGGGGAATAGAGCTTGTTTAGCTCAGACGAAGCTATTGGCCTTGGATTTGGTCACCGCTGTGTCAGAACTCGACGGTGCCACCCTCGCCAGAGCCAAAAGTGCGAGTGAGCACACGATCAATACTACATGGAGCATACTACATGGAGCAAGGCTCTCATTAGAGATCTTAGACTATACGCGTCTTGGGGCACATGAATGGCGCATGTTCCCCAAGAGTTGCCCGCTGGCGGTGGAGCTGCGGGCACCACACAGAAAGACTCTGAGATGCCTCACGCAAACCAAGGGCCTTGGTGTTCCCCCACGATAGCCGATGCTCGGGACGATAACCCTGATGGGCCGGCGGCACTTCAGTCCCGTGGAATCATCGACGTGTCAAATGTCCATGTTCGGGTAATGGTATGGACTTGTCCGTTATGCAAGACCACGGCCTAAGCTCACCTCACCGACCCAAGTAAGCAGATCAGATCGAAACCCTGACGTTCATGTTTAGCGCGCCCCTCTATACGGAGTCAGTCCAAAACAAATCCGTGGCCGACGAGCCCAGAGGAAACGGGTATCAACTTGAGTTTCATCTGGTCTAATACCTAGGCTATTAACTTGCGGCTGATAGCTCCCCGCTATTGCCATGCCATAAAGCGCCACCAGCAGCGAGGCCTTGTGATGGATCACAACCAAGAGCTCACGGGTCTCAAGCCATGCCTTGCCCAACGCCAGAATCTTGCCTTGATAGTCTCCGTCATCAGCTATAATCTCTAACCAAGCGAAATTCTCATGCCCGCACTGAGCGAATAGCGGAGCCGAAGTAGAGGATTGGAGGAACATACCCACTCCCGAGTCCGCACTTGAACTGTTCTAACACCATCGATGGTGGGAACGAGACGGGGATCATCCCTCCACACCCCTTGCAGGATCACGCAGAACCTCCGTGCGAGCCTTGGGATTGGCGAGCGACCTCTCCTCGTCTGTCCTCCGCTCTGCGTCTCAAGCGGAAGCGACTGACCGTGTACGGTCGAACCAAACACCGACAACCGTTGTGTCACCTCATCCCGAGCACGGCCCCAGCAAACAACGAGCGGCATTGACCTGCTGGCCCATGATTCGTGGCCAGTAAATGCCTGATGGCAGCATTTTTAGCTTCGTCTTGGCTTTTGCGTAGTACCGGCCGAGTCTAAGAAACGGATCCTTGCTGGTATGGCATACCATATGCGCATACTTGGACCAACTGTTCTAGTACTTTGTAGCAGCAGCCACGATCATGGCTCGCCTGGGCAGTTTGGTCACCGCTTGGAGGAGCAATTGGCCGCTTGGAGGAGCTTCGCGCAGCTCAACGTGAGCGCAGCTTCGGGTGAAGCTGTAATTTGTAAAATACAGACACGGACCAAAGATCTAACACAAATCGTTGTAAAACAGCTAAATTTTGACTTTGGGTTACCCAATGCGTAGCCCTGCCAGGTTTTCTCCGGCTTATAGCGGTGCCGGGGGGGACCTTGAGGGACCAGCTACACACAAAGTATGAAAGAGGAGCTCGCCAGCTGTTTGCATCATGGACTCCTTTGAGCAGATAAGCATCAGAGCTTTCCCAGCAACCTGCGCCGCCAGGTACTTCTATAAGCTTCCAGGCACCTGGCAAACACGCAATCAGCAAAGCCAGCTCGTTTATGCCCAGCTCGCGCCCGGATTGCTCTTGTACGCAGAGATTTGAGACACTTGCTCCAGGCTCACGCCGCCATCAAAGACCAACGCCAGACTCGGAATACACATTGGTGCCATCGTCTTGCTTCAGAGGTGAGGGACAGGACCTCGGTCGTTTCGCCACCAGAACAGCCGGCATCTGATCCAAGACTTGCCTAAAAACTCGTCTAACCTGGCTTCACATCGACGAAATCCGCCCGACGACAGAGATTACCATTACGTCCGTCCAATCCTACGAAGCAGCTGAGCTCCAGCAACTCCCTACGACAGACGAACCGCCTGCACCTAAAGAAGGTGGCGCCCCCACTACTGGCGAGCTTCAACAAACGCGGGTCTCGATCAGTCAGCCCGCCGCCACCTACAAAAAACATCAACCTGTACAATCCCTGAGCTGTGCGTCGTCGAGCATCCTCTCCTTTTTCCCGCCGAGGCTCGTCGCTGCTCATTCGCTGTGATTGCTGTTGGTACTCGCACGCCGCTCTTCGCAAAGCCGCCCCCCGCAATGCCCGCGCATGTGCCGGCGCCGGTCAAGGCTGAGGCCCAAGCCCCCAGCCGCCATTCGCCGGTTGAGATCCTCACGGACAGCCTGGAGAAGCCGTCGCTAGACGACCGCGAGTACAGGGTCATCCGCCTGGAGAATGAGCTCGAGGCGCTGCTGGTGCACGATCCGGAGACAGACAAGGCCAGCGCTGCGCTCGACGTCAACGTCGGCAACTTCAGCGACGAGGATGGAATGCCAGGCATGGCACACGCAGTCGAGCATGTAAGCCGTGCCGTTTCCCCTGCTTTGTTCTGTCGCTTGTCTCCTGTTTCCTGCCTTGTTTGATTGTCCTTGGTCTTCTTCTTCTCGTCCTGCAATTGCTGCTTCTCTCCCCTCCTTTTTCTTTTCTAATCATGCTTTTAACGCTTTGTGCTGTAATCCTGGTGGGCTGACGTCGGAGTAATGCTAGCTCTTGTTCATGGGCACCAAAAAGTTCCCCATCGAGAATGAGTACGGCCAGTATCTCTCTGCCAATTCCGGCAGCTCCAATGCGTATACAGCCTCCACATCGACCAATTACTACTTCGACGTAGCAGCCAAGCCAGCCAATGACGAAAATCCGTCGGCTACCAATCCTTCGCCACTCCGCGAGGCTCTCGACCGCTTTGCGCAGTTCTTTATTGAACCGCTTTTCTTATCTAGCACCTTGGACAGAGAGCTTAAAGCCGTTGACTCGGAGAACAAGAAGAATCTGCAGAATGACACCTGGCGTCTCCACCAGCTCGACAAATCGCTGTCAAATCCAAAGCACCCTTATTGCCACTTTTCTACCGGCAACCTAGAAGTGCTAAAGACGATCCCAGAAGCCAGTGGCATCAATGTCAGAGACAAGTTTATTGAATTCCACGCGAAGCACTACTCCGCCAATCGCATGAAGCTTGTTATTCTAGGCCGGGAACCTCTCGATGTGCTCCAGGACTGGACTGTTGAGTTCTTCTCTGGTATCGCTAACAAACGTTTAGCTCCAAACCGATGGACGGAGGAGCTTCCCTTCCGTGAAAATGACATTGGCGTCCAATGGTTCGCAAAGCCGGTGATGGACACCAGAGAGCTGAATCTCAGCTTCCCCTTCATTGACGAGGAAGATTTATACAAGTCTCAGCCGAGCAGGTACTGCTCTCACCTCATTGGCCATGAAGGTCCCGGCAGTATCATGTCGTATATCAAAAACAAGGGCTGGGCCAATAGCTTATCTGCCGGCGCTTACCCAATCTGCCCCGGCACACCCGGTGTCTTTGAAGTGCAGATCCGATTGACGGAAGAGGTAAGCTTAGAATCCATATTCTAGGATGATGTACTCTAACAGTAAAACTACAGGGACTTAAAGTATATCCTCAAATTGTCAACATCTTTTTCCAGTACATCGCCCTCTTGCGTGAAGCCTCCCCACAGGAATGGATTTTCGAGGAGCAAAAAGGCATGGCCGACGTGGACTTCAAATTTAGGGAGAAAACCCCTGCCAGCCGATTCACGAGCAGAGTTAGTTCTGTGATGCAGAAGCCTCTGCCGCGAGAGTGGCTGTTGAGTGCCCACAGCCGCCTGCGAGTTTTCGATGCAGGACACATTGAGCAGGCCTTATCCAAGATTCGACCAGAGAATCTCCGTCTTGCTGTAGTATCACGCACTTTCCCCGGCAATTGGGACAAGAAAGAAAAGTGGTACGGCACAGAATACTCATACGAGAAAATCCCGGAGGATGTGATGGAGGACTGGAAACGTGCCATCAACACCCCTAGCCAGCAGCGACTGCCACAGTTGCATCTGCCTCACAAGAACAGCTTCATCCCTAACAAGCTTGAGGTGGAAAAGAAGGAAGTGCCAGAGCCTGCATTGGCCCCCCGAATTCTGCGAAATGACGCAGAGGCCCGAACTTGGTGGAAAAAAGACGATACGTTCTGGGTACCCAAGGCAAACGTCATTGTGAGCCTAAAGAACCCTCTCATCTACGCCTCTGCACAAAACAGCGTTAAGGCTAGACTTTTTACAGAGCTAGTACGAGATGCCTTGGAAGAGTACTCCTATGACGCGGAACTTGCAGGTCTTGAGTATACCGTATCGCTGGATTCTCGAGGCATGTTCCTCGATATTTCGGGATATAACGATAAGCTTCTACTTCTCCTTAAGAAGGTTACCTCTACGTTGCGAGATATCGAGATCAGGGATGATCGATTTGCCATCGTTAAGGAGCGTCTTACTCGCGGCTATGACAATTGGCAGCTTCAGTCTTCATATCAGCAAGTGGGAGATTACACATCCTGGCTAAACGCAGAATGTGACTACCTGGTAGAAGAACTTGCTGTAGAGCTGCGAGAGGTCACCGCAGATGATATTCGGCAGTTCCAGAAGCAAATGCTAGCTCAGATGTATACTGAGGTCTATGTACATGGAAATATGAGCAAGAGCGACGCACTTGATGCGACAGAGGTGGTTGAATCTACCCTCAAGCCGCGCGTGCTGTTCAGGTCTCAATGGCCCATCATTCGCTCACTCATCTTGCCCCCAGGATCAAATTACGTTTACAAGAAGACGCTGAAGGACCCGGCAAACGTCAACCACTGCGTGGAGACGTGGCTCTATGTGGGCGACAGAGGTAACCGAAGTATTCGCGCGAAAACTCTCCTAATCGATCAGATGATGCATGAACCCGCCTTTGACCAGCTCAGGACAAAAGAGCAGCTTGGGTACATTGTCTTCGCCAGTATCCGTAACTTTGCCACAACATGTGGTTTCCGCTTCCTGATTCAAAGCGAGAGGACTCCCGACTACCTGGACAGACGTATCGAGGCATTTTTGGTCCGATTTGGGGAAAGCCTGCAGAAGATGACGGAGGCTGAGTTTGAGGGTCATAAACGAAGCTTGATTATCAAGAGACTTGAAAAGTTGCGAAACCTGGATCAAGAGACTTCAAGGCACTGGGCCCAGATATCTAACGAGTATTATGACTTTGAACAAGGTATGTCATTTATTGTTGTGCCTCGCTTCTAACGGTATACAGTATGCTAATATACGATTTTTTAAAAAAAAAAAACAGCCCAGCATGATGCTGCCAACACCAAGCTACTGACCAAGGCTGAAATGTTGGAGTTCTTTGATAAATACTTCAGCCCTTCCTCCAGCAGCCGAGCCCGCCTTTCAGTTCATCTATACGCTCGAGGATCTAGCGAATTGGATTCAAAGGTCGTAAATCTCCTAAAGAACCTAGGACTAAACGATGTTCCCAAAGAGAGCCGAGCAAGCCTTGACCTCCTAGAGGGACACCTTAAGACAGGACAGTCGGTTTCAGATGACCAGCGTTCAGCCCTGCTCTCTCAGGCCAAGGAGCTAGGACTTCCGCAGGCCTCCCCCGAGGCCGAAGCATCTAACGATGAGGTTTCAGCCATAGATGCGGCAATTGAGATCACTGATGGTCGACAATACAAGGCTGGCCTTCAGGTCAGCTCTGGTGCTCGTCCTGTTAAGGACCTCAAGGAATTTGAAGAGATCGATCCCAAGCTTTGAGGTGCTAAGGCATGTTGACGAATTACGATGAATTTTATACTGTCCAAAAGAAAAAGGGGGGGGAACCTGATAGATGTTTGATGCTGCACACGCAAGGGGATTTCCTAGGGGAGGCTTTGAGGAAGCATTAACAGCAGGTAGATATATATTAGAGTTATTTTCTTTTTTTACGGTTGTATTGATTGGGAGAGAAGATGAGAGTGGCAGCTACCTGGGTTACTTGCTACCTGGGTTACCGCTGTGTGTCTGTGTTGGACTGGGTCTCTCTGATCTTTGAAGTGGATTTGCAGAACTTGTATAGCTAGAAAAATTACTGGGTTAAGATTACTTGCAGACGTGCTTCGTAGAGATCGTTATATTCTTGTTCCTGGCGCTATGCTGGGAAATGCAGCCCAAACATCCTAGAAGGTCAGTGTAAGTGCTTGTATCTACAGAGATACATCTCAGAACGATGTCGCGGCCGAATGTAAGGGATCTCTATGGTGTCTAGTGTAAAAGTGCCCAGGTGCGGAGAATGGGTACCAGATCTAAGACATTTGATTTTGAGATTCATGCTCATGTAGGGGATATGTATCTGCTACTTGCGTCGTGTTTTGTCGTTCGTCACCTGGAATGTGTACATACTGGGACTAATTCCCACAACGGCAGGCTGCTCTGATGTCGAGGCAACCAAAGGGCAAAGCGCTAGCAATCAGAACGAGTCGGGACCTGAAAATATTTGCACGCCGCCACGCAGCCAGTTGCCGGATCCGTTCTCGTTTGCCTCTACAGCGAGAAAAAGACGCCGGCAGCCGCCACAGTCCGTGCCCCTCGCAGCAAGTACGGTGCAGTGAGAGTGAGTGCGTGCAAGTTGGCGGTACCCACGATGGAGGTACCGCTACATTAATGAATTGGCAAGGCTGATCTCAGATTCCCAAGCTGAAATATATTTCCATATGCCTGAAAGAAGGAGCGTGAGGCTTACCTATGCAAGCCAAATAGTAGTAGTGCGTGTGTCAGAGTTGCCTTGCTGCAGTTACTCATGGAGACGCAGCAATGGGAAGGATTCCATTCGCATCGGTTTTGCCACTACCTTAGTAATTCTAGTAGTAGCTTAGTACTAGGTAGGTAGGCACTACAGACACCTGATGCAACCTGGTGCTGGAGAGGTCAGCAAGTCAGGCAAACGCAAAGGGAACATGTACTCAAGGTACCTAAATACATAGGTACTATACCTAGGGCCACGGCAGTTCAACTGCAGGCGTCTATTAGGGCCGTGCGCGGGGCTCTCAGTGCGCTGGCCGTCATTCCTGGGCTTCTGAGTGGGCAGCTGGGCTTGGTGCGGTGGGGTTTTGGGGGTTTTTCTCGCCTCGCTGCAGCTACAGCGCGGAGAGCCATTGAAATCCCAGCATCAACCCATCATTTTTTTTTTCCTCAGGCGGTTACGGGTCTCTCTCCTGGAGCGCATCCGCGAGGCAGCCGCGAGCTATCCGCTAGCTCTTCTTCTAACCCTGGGCCTCTTTTCTTCTTCTGTTTTGGATGGGGCTCACTGCTGGTTTTTATTTTTGTATTTTTTTTTTTTCTCCCACAGCTTCCCTGCTGCTGACCCAAACAACAGTGCGCTATCCGGTGCCTGATTCGCTGCTTAGTTACGTATAAAACGGGGCCCTTAGGCTGATCTTGCTGTTCCTCTTTTGCTTTGGCTTAACTTTTTTTTTTCCCTTCCCGTTATTCACTTCTTTTTCTCTTTTCTCTGGTCTTCCCTTTTTTTTGTTTTTTATTTAGTTTTCCTAGCTGGAACAGCCTAGCAGCAGAACCTGCAGGCACGAGCAGGCCATATAAGCAGGCCACGTACCATCTTGGCTGCGGGCATCTCGATAGCCGTGTCATCTTCCCCAGCTGCAACTCCAGGTTCAGGTACGGAGCATAGATCACACACACCACCACACACTCCCAGGCCGGTGTCAGGCACAAGACACACTGCACTATGCCCAGCCCAGCGGTCAGAAGCCACGCCCAGCTCATGCCGTGCGATGGATCTACGCGGAGTCATTCGCATCTGCTGGCTGACGCTGGGCTGCTCTGCTCCGGCTGCCCCTTCTCACCACCTACAACACAGTGCTGTGTCTTACTAGCGCTGCTGCATGTGGCCGTGACGTCTTTTTTTTTGCCCCTGCTTGACTTTGTACTGTCCAGAAATAGCTGACAGCGAGACCCACACAGCCCGTCAAAACACCGCCAACCCACGAAACAAACGCCCGCCTCCACTGCCCCGATGTCCGGTGCCCTGGCCGTTCTTTTGTCTACTGGCTGATTCTATCAACCCCTCGAACGACGAGCGTCTAGATGCAAGGCCATCCCCATCGCCTCCCTCTTCGACTCGACTCTCCCCCCGTTCTCCCCAGAGCTGCCCGGGCAGCTCACTATCAAGACGTCTTCCTCAAAGAAGAGAAAGCTTGCCCGTCCCTTGACGATTGATCTTGACGCCCACTCGCCATCGCCAGACACCGCCATCCCCTCGTGCGAGCCCGACGACGACGCCGCCCTCTCCTTTTCCGCTACGCCCATAGCCTCCGGGCTTGAAGCGCCGCAGTACGTCCGTGCCGGCTCCATCCCAGCATCCAGCGTCCCCCCGCGGCTCCAGACCCAGGCCCAGACCCAGCTCAGCTCATCCCTCGTGTCTGCCGACTACGCCTCGTCCGTTGCCTCGTCTCCCGGCACGTCCAACTGCCCTGATCCGTCTGTTGAAAGTGAAAGAGGAGGAGACGACGCAGGCTCTGTGCGCACCTACGACAGGAGCCAATCACCGTACCTCATCTCCAGGCGGGCCATTATGAATGGCGATGCTGATCTGCCTCAACGTTCATCATCCCCACTGAAGCGACGAGCATCCAGCATGGATCCCGAAACCACAACAAACAAGAACGGCGATGCTGCCGTTAATGGCAGTGCCGAGGACGTAGAGATGACATCGTCATCCGTCCCCTCGACGGAACTGCCCCGCGCTATGAGCGTTGACATCGTTGAAGTCTCAGATCCCAAATCGTCAACCAACGGCACCGATTTCCCTACTCAGCGTAAGTCCCTTTCCGAGAGAGAGAGAGAGAGAGAGAGAGAGAGATTCCCAAGATGAGAGGCAAGGAGAAGTACGAATCCAGTTTCAAGATTGCTAATGCAAGACTTTTCTTTAATAGCTGCTCCCCTTCCCTCTCTCACCGAACAAGTCAAAATAATTGAGACGCTTCTCAAAGCTGCGGCAGATTCGCTACCAAAGGAGGGCGATAAAGCCTATCTTGTATCGCGTACATGGGTGGATAAGGCGTTGTCCCTGCGTTCGGGCAAGACGGATACCACCGAGGCATCATTGGGCCCAATCGACAACTCAGACATCATCGAGGAAGTCCTCCAAGAGCCGGGCCGTGAAGACTTCATTCGCCTCAAACCTGGACTTGATCAGCAATCATTCGAGCTCTTCCCCGAAGACGCATGGAAATTGGTCATGGACTGGTATGGCCTCGAACAGGGACAAAAACCTATAGTCCGGACGGCTATCAATACTGCTGCCGATGCGCAATCTGCCTCTGAGATCGTATTTGAGCTCCATCCCCCAATTTTCCGAGTGCATCGCGTCTGGTCTGAACTCAGTCCACTACCCATTGAGTCGTCTCTCAAAGCCGATAATCCACCTCCTCTTGCTATTGCCAGAAGTCGCAAGTACCGTGCCCAGACCTTCATCAAAGATATAAAGAAACTTGCCGGTGTCCCGATTGACCGCAAGATTCGGCTATGGGTGGTCAATTCAGAGCAGCTTGGCACAACCAATGCCCAGCCTCAAGCTGCCCTGACAACACCTCCTGATTCTCCTGGCCGCGACCAAGATGCGAATGGAGGCGAAAACTCCCCTTGGTCACACTTACTCGTTGACGTAGCGGCTTTTGGTGCTGCTAGGGACGCCAGACGATTAGCAACACTCGAAGATCAAACCGTAAATCCTAATTACAATGGTTCTGCCACTATCCAGCATTTTGAGTTGGTGACGGACCAGGCCCTAATTGTTGATGAGCTGGTCGATAAGGGAGTATGGGTGAGTATTTGTACGAGCCGATCAATTCTTGACAAGGCAATGCCCACGCGGACCAACAACACCGCATTGTCCAAGTCATTTAGCAACCGAAGCAGCCCCAGCTCTTCAGATGGGCCTGCCACTCGTGGCAGGATGCAGAAGAAGAAGAATGGCCGGAGCTTGGGCGCTGTGGGCTTGCATAACCTCGGAAACACTTGCTACATGAACTCAGCGCTGCAGTGCGTGCGTAGCGTGGAAGAGTTGACAAAGTACTTTCTTACAGAGGCATACGCAACTGAACTCAACAAATCCAACCCGCTTGGCTACAACGGGAAAGTAGCTATGGCGTACAACGGGTTGCTTAGAGAGATCTATGATGAGGGTAGAGGATCGGTAAGCCCTCGGGATTTCAAGAACACTGTTGGCCGCTGCCGCAGCACCTTTGCTGGCTGGGGTCAACAAGACTCGCAGGAGTTTCTTGGCTTCCTTCTTGATGCTCTTCAGGAAGACCTTAGCCGTATCAAGAAGAAGCCTTACATCGAAAAGCCAGATTCTACAGATGACATGATCAATAACCCCGAAGCAATCAAGGAGATGGCAGATAAAGTTTGGGACATCACCAGAAAGCGAGATGATTCTATTATCGCCGACCTTTTCACGGGCATGTACAAGTCAACTCTCAAGTGCCCTGAGTGCGGTAAAATTAGCATCACATTCGACCCTTTCAACAACCTGACTCTGCCCTTGCCTGTCGAGAATATGTGGTCCAAGACGGTCAAATTCTTTCCTCTCAACGACGTCCCTGTCATGTTTGAGGTTGAGCTGCCCAAGCATAGTTCCATCGAGTCCCTCAAGCTATTTTTATCAATTCGCACGGGCGTACCAGCAAATCGCATCATGGGTGCTGAAGAGTTTAAGGATCGTTTCTTCAAAATTTATGATAACAGCGGTGATATCTCTGAAGAGATTGGAGCATCCGATATTGCAGCATTCCATGAGTTGGAGGCAGTACCTACCAACTGGCCTGCTAAGGGCATTCAGAAGAAGCCTCGCTCCATGTTGGATCTGGACGACACTCCGCCTGACGCCGCCGATGAGTGGAATAGCGATCCACGATATGAGACAATGGTGGTCCCAGTTTTCCACCGACGACCATTTATCACTGGCAGAGGGCCCGAGGGTACGTCTCCTCCGCACTTCATCACTCTGACGAGGGAAGAGGCGTCAAGCTACGAAGATATCAAGCGTAAAGTTTTGGAGAAGGTATCAACTTTTTCCACATGGTCAAAGTTTTCTCTTGCCCAGCAACTGGACCCTGAAAGCCCAGAAAACACAGAGTCGGACATCGTCATAACTAACGCTTCTGATGCCGACTCATCTGGGGACAGTAAGGTTGTTGCCAAATCTGTTGAGGGAGAAGACGATATGGTCGACGTGGCTATGAAGGATGCTCGCAGCAGTGCTAGTGCCATGCCCCCTCCCGAGCTCCCTCTGCCTCATCAACCACAGCTTCTCCGCCGTTTCAATGCCCAACGTCCCAAGTTTGTCCAGCCTGGGGAGTTCCTCGATCCTGAGCTGCAAGGTCTCTTTGAGCTGAGCTATTTTGCCAGTCAAACTGATGGTCCAGTGCCCACCGGCTGGGGAGTTGTTGACAATCACAAAACGCTTCCAAGACTTACGGACCGTATCCCGGAACCGCCGACCAAGGAGGAGGATGAACCAAGCCCTGAGAGCTGGAACAGCACGGCTTCTGGTAACGAGGACAGCAGCAACGAGGACGAGAGTCCACAGCCAGAGTCTCCGCAGACACGGATGATGGATGAATCCAGCGAAGATGAAGCCCTTCCTGGTGCTCGGGTAAGTCTCTCTCTTTGTATTAATTCATAAAGTGGTATCTTTTAGCTGACTCTTGATGATGCACAGCAGCTGGCTCGATCCGCTGTTAACAGAGTTCCTCAGAAGGGCAGTCGTAAGAAATTCAAGAATCATAAGGCGTATAACAAAAAGGGCAACAAGCGTCGTGACAAACAGATGCGTGGCGGCAAGTTAGCAAACCGCTCGCCAGCTGTCGAGTCTGAACCGACACCTCCGGCAGTTGCTGATGGCGGCCCGTTAATCCGGCTTCACGAGGGTCTCGTGGTGGACTGGAGTGAGGAGGCTTGGGAAACTTTGTTTGGCTACACTGGAAAGAAACAGCACGAGGCACAGGGAGCCAAGACGTTCGCCGACCTGGAGACTATCAACGACCCTGCGCTCAAGATTAGCCAGAGGAAACGACAGACTCGTCGGTCCCGCGGCATCACCTTGGAGGAGTGTCTCGATGAGTTCGAGAGGGCCGAAGTCTTGTCAGAGCAAGACATGTGGTATTGCCCACGATGCAAGGAACACCGCAGGGCGAGCAAGAAGTTTGATTTGTGGAAGACACCAGACTACTTGATTGCACATCTCAAGCGATTTAGCAGCTCTGGATGGCGACGAGACAAACTGGACGTACTAGTCGATTTCCCCATCGAAGGGTTGGATCTCACCTCGAGAGTCATTCAAAAAGAGGATGGAAAAGAAGAGATTTACGATTTGATTGCTGTCGACGACCACTACGGAGGGTTGGGCGGAGGCCATTACACCGCGTACGCGAAGAACTTTGTAGATGGGCGCTGGTACAACTACAATGGTGAGAATCACAAAGACACACGTCCCGTGAAAGTGAGACGGAATAAGAGGCTAACTTTGAATAAACTAGATTCATCCGTTTCATCCGTTTCTGACCCCTCGTCGGTCGTGACGAGCGCAGCATACCTACTCTTCTACCGTCGCCGAACTCACGGTCATCTAGGGGGCCCGAGGTTTGGACAGATTTTTGAAAAGTACAACTCGGAAACGAGCGGAGACGACGGGAGTAATTCAAGCGAGGAGGACAACTTTATTCGCGGCTCGCCTTTAAAGGCCGGCGTCACTCGCACCGCGATCAAACCCCTTTCTGATTCCCACGACGGAGAAGTACCGCCATATGAAGAGGCCATTCGTAGCATCGAGGACGAAAGTTCAAACAGCTACCAAGCTGCTGGGCCAAAGTCTCTTGACTTGACGCAGAGTTGGAGTTTCAGCAGGCTCGATGGCAGTGGAGCTGAAGGATCTACGGCTGCAGACTATGCCAGCGATGACGCACAATTCAATTCGTCTGGCGACGAGCATGGCAGCTCGGGAGACTTCTTTGAAGCTGACACTCACATGACATCGGCTAGCTCTATTAAGGGAGATGCGGCAGGAGAAGTACCGTCACCGGCGGGAGCTCATGAGGACGTCTTGACTGTGCCTACCGGGGCTCCCAATTCCGATGACTCTGACGAGGTCGCCGAGATCCACTTGGAGGGCGACAAGACTGCCCGCGACGAGTGAAGTGACGACATCGCTGAAAGCCTGGTGCAAGACAGCTTGAGCTACGAATATGATTTCAACGACCATGGCACGTATATATATATATAGACACTTTATGTGATGAAACACGGGTTGCATGTCGAATGACTTTGGGAATTTCACCATGAACTGGGGGAGTAAAAGTGGAGGGAGTAAGGGGCATACACACACATGCACTGGACGTGTCGATAGAACTTAGATGACGATGATTATTATCCCGTCTGAAACCAGGCAGGACGGGCCGGCAACTAGCCGCATGAATTGACGATTGCATGTACAGAATATGCATTATGACGTCTTCGAATGGAAGACCAATAGCACAAAGTGTATAATCAGATACATATAGGTAGTATTCTCGCATAGCTCGATAAATCGAGAAAAGGTCCACTACATCTAGCTACCCATGAATGCTATAACACCATCTGTCACGGGCATTGGTGCAAAAAAAATGATATATCATATGCTTTTGCCCCCGGTGGCTGGCTGCTGCTTGTTTGGGCGATCTGGGGGAAGAGAAACAGGGATTTTATTTCTAGTTCTTTTCTTTTTTTGGTTTTGACAGGTGGATGAAGTAAAAGCAAGTCATTCGCGTGGAGCATCCGGAGAACGGGGCGCCACTACCAAGGCACTGAGCTTGGCTCTTACATGATACTGCAGCACACAATGCGTCTAGATTTCAAAGTGGTGGCGTAGAAGGGCATAGAGAGCTGTATGAAAGAGGTAAAACGATGTGCTAATTAAAGACTCGAGTCAAAGATATGACTAATGGTGATGTTTTGGGCCGGTGAGTGGGAAGTTTGCGATTCCTTTCAAGTATAATTGTAGGGTAAGACTACCACGTAATGGAAAGACTAAAGGTTTTCTCTCTAGCACTACTCGGAACTCGGAAGGGAGAGTCAATCATGATGCAGGACATACGATTCATTGCGTTCAGAGATTCTACCCCAACTGGGGAAAGAAAGAAAAAAAGAGTGGCGCGGACATATGTCGTTATCTGTCATTCTATGGATGGAGTGGATGGATGGAGAGGCGAATTTTTACTAAGCAGATATAAAAAAGTGCCTGAGGAAGGGCAATTGTGTGCGTGTGCCTTTCTCTCTTCTGTGTAGTGCGCGCACACACTCGCTTGGGCTCACTCGGAGAAGGATCGGCTTTTTTCCTAGGCTGAAAAAAGGATCTGCAGCTTGGATTAAGCAAAGAAACGCCAGCCAGTCAGTGCGGGCAAAGGGGAGAGAAAAGGGGGGCTACTAAATGCTAGCTAGGTCGTAAGTGAACATCTAGAGCCTTGTGCTGTAGCGCCGTACGGGGTAAAAAGGCTTGTTCTGGCAACCAAGTGTGCAATCTGGAGGTCCATAATATGGAGCCCTTTGAAGAGATATTGCCGAACTTTTGAAAAAGCGGGCGGCGGGCTATATTCTAAAGAGAGAAAAGGGCAAAAAAGAGGGGGAAGAAGGGGGGGTTCGCATGTGTAGCGCAGATTGAGATTGAGATGTAAAGCATGGAGTCAATGCCGAGGCGATTGATTGATTGATTGATTGATTGATTGATGCTGGTGCTAAAGCTGATAAGCGAGCGCCTTTTTTTGCAATGACTGCGTCTCAAGCTGAGGGACTAGACTGTTACAAGAAAACTGGAACCCCGATAAGGTATTGGATGATTTGGTCATTTTCATTTTAGGCTTTGGATTTGCTCGTGTAGGTGCTAAGATATTGGCCCATTCGCGGGGCTCTGGTTAGTGAAAAGCAAGTTGGTCCTTATTTCTAATCAATGCCGGCGCTGCTGATAATTTCGCACGCGGGGATTGGACTGCATTGTATGGAGTACCTAGGAGGTATTGGGAGCGCGCAATGCAGGGCGATTGTGATGAGGGATGCGTGGTGCAGGCTGCGATGCAACGCCGCAGAAGCAGGGAAGCTAGCCCTGCCACGCCAGAGGGGCCGGATGGCGATTAGCCGGCTGGATAAGACGCTGCGACTGCCTGGGCGATGGGCTCAGAAAGCAGGGCCGTGGAATAGAACCACACGGTATCCGAATGCTTGACGGCGTGCTGAGCAGCAATTATAACTGGGGCAGGCTCCGACTCGCTCGATGGGATCGGGGTTCTCCGTAGTCCCGCGACAGCGCAGCGAATCGGGACAAGGCCTCTGCGCTGCGGAGAGCAGACGAGAGGCTGAGGATTTAGATTTGTGCTAATGCACGGGAATAGCAATGCTGCTAGCGATGATACGAAGGAGATGATGGAATGGAGATTGGACTGCATGACACGAGACTGAGACAAGAGAAACCCTTTTCCAAGCTGCCGGGATTCAGTGTGGTACAGCAAACAAGCAGCAGCAAATACAGTGCAGTACGGAGCGCTGCACTGCAGTAACTGGAGCGGTAGCATTACTAAGGCATAGCAGCCCGGCGCGGATTGGACCAGCCAGGGATATGGGTTAATGCTTGCCCGGCCTAATTCCGCTTAGAGCAATACATCCAGTAATCGCGTTAGCTCTGGTAAGCCGGAATGGCGCGGTCGGGGCTTAAGATGAAAGCGCAAACGCTCGGACCAGCCGCGAATCCCAGATGAGGCTAAAAAAAAACTTCTAGAAGCCTGCTAGAAGCCCTAACGAGGATCTAGTATCATGCTAGCAAACAGAAAAGGCGAGAAGGCGAGAGCGAAAATGGGCTAACAAGGAGAAAAGGCAAAAAAAAAAAAAAGACACTCTGAAACTAACAACTGAAAAGCGGGCCGATATTCAGTTGCACGCATCATATCCCCTCCTTTGTCTGTTCATTCTTCGGCACGCTCCGGGCTGGGCTGGGCTGATTTGGGCTGGGCTGGCGGTCCTATTGGATACTGCATACTGGGTACTGTACTGGATACTGGGTACTGGCTACAGGTATGTGAAGTGGTACCTACTATGCAGCTGTGTTGGGTGTCACCGTGCAGTGCCGCCCAACCAAGGGCAAACACGCAAAAAGGACAGCAAGTCCGGGCAAGGCATGTGCAAATCGAACTAGCAGGGCTGTGGTCACCCGCGAATCTGCGTCCAACGTTGAGATGAGGCGAGGCTGGCGGCGGCAGCGAGATGGTGGGCGACGGCCACTTGCCGAGGATTTGAGATTCGCCCTTTTCCAGTGGCGTGTCGGCTCTTCGATCTGAGTCCGTGGAACGCGCCACTGTAGCAGACCAACTTACACACTCCTGACGTAGCTCTGTGGGATTCTAGGGCAAAAGGGAAAAAAAAAGGGAGACATCAACGGCCTGCTAGCCCGGATCCCAGGGACGGGAGCTGGACAGTGCGCGGCATCAGCAACATCAGCATCAGCCTCGGCATGCAGAGCATGAGCCGGTTTTATTCTTGCAGGCAATGCCAGTACCGTGTGCTCAGCATCCCCCTTTCCAGTTCCTGCTCGTCAGCCTCTCATCCCAGCAAGCAACGTGGACAGGACCGGCAGTGCGAGAATGACGATGTTCATGGGGGATCACCATCCGATGTGCTTGCGCCTGTCAGGCACTCGTATAAAAAGTGCTGGCGTCAACTCGCTAGCAAGCTCCCCCCTGTCGAGTTCGGGGTCAAGGGCGGGGGGGAACACGCGAAGCTCCTATTCTCTACATGCAGTCGTCCCTCTTATTAATATTTTTTTTGCCCTCTTTTGGCTCTTAGAATCTCGCCTGGGCCAACAACACAGTATATACCTGGTAGGCAGACAAACTTCGCGAGCAATACACCTAAGCGAGACCGAGTTCACCGGAGGTCCAGTGCTCGGGCTTGCGCGTTTCGTTTCGTCTCCACGATTCGGCCCAAGGTGAAAAGCTGAGGCTGGAGATGTCTACTGGAGCGCGTAGCTGACTGACTCCATAGATAGCAGACGGAGAAGTCCGTTGGCTTGGGCTTCATCGACCATCGTTCGATCGCGTTCCGATTTGCTTCTAGTGGTAGTCATTTGTGCACTATTTCGATTCCTCTGGCCGCGAGTCAAGCAGAATGACACGGTAGTGCGCCTTTTTGATGCACGTAATGTTTAATCCTCCTGTTTCCCGTTTCGTTATCTTCTCGGTGGTAAGCGTCCTCTGTTGCATTCCTGTACTGTACGCTTCTCTGCCATGATCCTCTTTTTATTTTATTTGCTTTTTGAGTCTTTTTTGTCAAACCTTGTCTCAGGCGCCACCCTGCGAGCTGAAAGAATGCAGTACCCACAGCTCTCGAAGTTTGCCCTGGTTGTTGCCATATAAGAGCAAACAGCCGTGTCCACCCCCTGGCATTCCCCAGCCGAGACGAATAGAGAGCGGGCCCTGCAAGCTGGGTCGTGGGAGCCCGGGATGAGGATTTCGAGGCGTTGCTTGGGCGCCGAGCCGGCGTCGTGTCGTCTTGTCTGTAAGCCGGAGAGGGCCAGAGCTTTGCAGCTTTGCGCTGTCCCGATATAGCTGCAATTGAGAGACATAGAGTAGAGCGCGTTTTTGCTGACACAAGTACGTGCGTGGCAGTAGCTGCGTTTCTGTCCTTTCTTCCCACATGGATATTGCCATCGCTGGGCTGGCTGAGATCTGTTTAGCACAGAGCATGAGAGCTATGGAGCGATCAAGATGTGACATTCGTACTCTCCCGCCACCAGGTAGTATGTACCTACTGATGGAGCATGTAGGATTGTAATATAGTGCAATATACCTTAGGCGCCTTATGTAGGTACGGAGTAGTCGTTTATACTCGTACTTTCTCTAACGCGTACCTCATGCTTGCATCTTGGATGATGCGGGTGGGCTGCCCGGCGAACCACACGCCAGCTTCAAATGTTCCCACCAGCAATAATCTTACAATTATTGGCAGGCATCCTCCTGCAGCATCCGTGGCAGCAGCTGCAGAGGCACAGCTCGCCAGAAAAGGGAATCAATCAGTGTAGAGTATTATTCGACAAGACAGGGTATGGCAAGGGAAGCGACGGAATACGGAGAATATTACCACTTGCTGTGCAATGCATGGGGCGGCACAGTGCGAGCG